ATCAATACTCTCCACAACTTCCATCCAACATTTTTAATTACTTATCATTTTAAGGAGAGAGATAAAGAAAACTACTCAGAATCCATGGAGAAAATAAAACCATACTTTAGTTTAAAAGTAGAATCATTTTCAAACCAATAAGAAGTCTCGATTAAAACCAAAAGTAGTTTAAGAACAAAAGATAAAAATTTATCTCAAATCATCAACCAAACTCTTGAAGTTCCCTTGAATCTCTTCTCTTTTACAACACTCTTGACTCTCACAATAAAACTAAAAACAAAAAGGATAAAGTAAATTTGTGGTGCCTGAAAATCTCTCCAAAAATCTCTCAAAAACTGCCCCTTTCCAACACTTTTCAAAACTTTCAAGCACGCTTCAAAAAGTCTGAACTTCCTTCTTTTATAAATCTCCAAGAGGTGTCTTGATAACTCTTCAAAATGTGTCCCAATTCGATGTATTTTCCAAAGGATGCCTCTTTTCATAAGTCCTTTTATCATAATTTTGTTTCTAGTGGTCATAACCACCCTCTTTATCCAATAGGCGCCTTAAATATCCCTTTAAAATTCGGCAAAATGAAGTAAACCAACATATAACTACCTCTGGCGCTTAAGCGCAGGGCCTCTGGCTCTTAAGCGCAGGGCCTCTGGCGCTTAGGCGCAGCCTTCTCTGTTTCACCAGCGCATAAGCACCGGATCTGGCGCTTAGACTCCAAAGGGCGCTTAGGCTCCAAAGCACTTTAGCACAATTTTCACTTTTTTGCTCCAAATTTAATCATTTTTCACTCCTTTTAGCATTTTTCATCTTTTTACTTGTACCTGAAAGAAAAACATATAAATAAATTTCATTAAAGCGCAATATCTCAAAAATACGAATAAAAACAATATCTCAAAAATACGTATAAAAATGTGTTTAAAAACTCTATATTTTTTAGGTGTATCAAGTATTCAGGAATGGAGCAAGGGATCATGAGATCTTTTGAGGAGCATTCTTAGAGCTTTGTAAGAAGAGAAAGCTAAGTATTGTGTACTTTTATTATTGTATTTCTGTAAACACAATCATTTAGTGGATTTTCTTGTTTCTAATGATGATTTATGGTGTGTTCTTTATGTTTTATGGGTAGTTATCTTTTAACATAGGGTATTTTTTATTTAATTAAATATTGAATCTTAGAAAATGCATAACTTGGTGTAGAAAAATCATAAAAAATAAAATAAAAAAATAAAATAAAAATAATCAAAAAAATAAAATAAAAATAATCACTTGCTCAGTGAATAGAGAAAAATAATATGGAATAAAAATAAAAATTATTTGTCATGTCTCTACTTTTTATTTAAATAAATACTCTCTGGACTATTTTAATTTTATTTCAGTGAATATTATTCATCATGACTTGAAACTTTAGGAGTTGATTTTTCATGACAGTGAAGATGTCTCCTGATTTTTCCAAGGTCAGAAGACATATCTAGCCCTAAAACTTTAATTTTTAAGTATATATTTTTTATTAAATTAATTATAAAATTAAAATTTTAATCAGAAAAATATGAGGTTCATTTTGGTAGGTTTCCTAAGGTTAGAGGACTTTAGAAAAATATAAATTAAGTTTAAATATATAAGTACGTTGCTATAGCTAATTAATTTATTTTAACTCATAAAAATTTAAATAAATCAAATATTATTCAAAAATTAACAAAATTAATTTCACGCTGTAAATAATGACTATTTTAACACTTTGTAAAAATTTGAAGTCCATTTGATATATATTTAATACTAAAGTCTATTTTTCAATTGTAATGTTACTTTTGTATTAAAATAATTATAATAAATAGACTACAATCAGGAAAATTATGAGTTCCTTGTGATCAGAGGCACCTAGGAAAAATAAAAATTATTTTAAAATAAATAGTTCATTTTTAAGCTACTTTTTAATTAAAAAAATTACAAATTGAAAAAATATGAAAATGCACGAATTTATTTCTAATTATTTCTTGATCACTTGGGACTCTTTAAAACATTTTTTCTAATTTTTATAATTTATTCATATATTTTTAAATGCTAAAAATATATTTTTCTTAATTTTCCATTAAAAATAATTATAATAAAAAGAATAAAAAATTATAAAAATAAAAAGTTTACCTCTATGAGTTCTCTGGACTCATGGAGATTTAATAAAAATGTAAAAGTAATTTTTAAAATTAAATAATAGTTTCTAATTAATTAATCACTAAAAATCAATAAATAATTATAATAATTAAAATATAATCTTAAAAATGATGAAATTTTGCCAAGTAGTCTTCTAACCTAAGTGAACCTTCAATAATTTTCCCATGAACAGAAAAATTTATTTTGATCAGTTAAATAAATTAATATTGAAAATCCTATATTTGAGCTAAAATAATTATATAAACTAAATAAAAATTATAAAAAATCATATTTTCTACTCTGATATCTTAAGTGACCCATGAGTGGGGTGCCTTAAAAAATTCAAAGCTAATTGAGTTATATTTAATGAGTTACGAAGTGGAGAGGTCCTTAAGGCAAATTGGTAATTTTGGATTTTGGATGCCCTAATTAAATTTTAGGTTAACCACAAGGGGTAAATGGGTAATTTTTATCGTAATAAAACCTTTTGGGTGTTTGAAACATAATTGGTTAAGACTTAAAAACCAATTTGCCACATTTTCATGAAAAGGGTAAAATTGTAATTTCATAAATTATTATGACTTGTAGGCTAATTCATTTGGATGATGCTAAAGCAGTGGGCTTAAGCTAAGATAATAATTCACCTAGCTAAGATAATTTTGAATCCCCTAGTTGGAGATTAGATGATAGAATGATTCTTTAATGAGAATTGATCTCACTTAAATTAACGTTTCGATTATTACAAATCTAACCTTGAAATTGAATTTAAGGGATTAATAGTGAGCTAGGTTTGATATTTAAACTTGTTTAATGAGATTTAGAAAAAAGGAACGTGATTAATTTATGAGTATCCTTAAGCACTACAAGCACGACTTTAATGGTAGGTACCAGACCTTTAATGACCTAAGCTTACCTTAGGGGCATCCCCTTACATAACTCTTAAGTAAAATCTTAAGTAAATATTTGAAGTACCTTACTCTTTGGATAATTGAAATATTAATATTCACTAAGCATAAAGTGTATTAAAATACTAAATCTTAATTTAATTTTGGATGATCAATTGAACAATATAATAAGTTCAAATGAACTTGAAACTTTTCAAATGGTTTTAAAAATTGTTCAGAGTTATGCCCCGAACACTTTTAGAATCCTTTGGATACTTTGAAGAACAATTGAACTTATTATTCTTTGTTCAAGAAAATCATCCATTAAAAAATTTAGGGATCCACCAAGTTATGGCTTGCTGAATCAATAAAAATACCCTACACTACTTATCTGATATTAATTGACCCAATGCTCAAGGATTTAAGTCTTCTTTAAGATATTTAAATCCTTATGGGCAACTAGGGATATTTTTTTTGCCACATATTGATCATCGGGCTTGTGTAAGTCTGAGGTCTAGGTGGTCGGGGCAATGACGATAATGTTAATGTGTGCTAAAATGAGGGATACAGTATGGGATTTTAGAAAAGCATCTCCTATCTCAAGCACCTTTTATAAAAGGAAAGGGTAAGGACCAATTGTACTATTGAATGACTCTCGAGAAGATGATTACCCCCGATATTCTTAGGTTGTTTGTAATCCTAATTCGATTAAATTAATTAGCCTATAGACTAGACCATTCTATAAATATTTTCAACAAACATCTCTTTTTCATGATAAAATAAATTTTATATGTATAAAAATTGAGTTTAAAATGAAAATTTTTAAAGGTTCATGGTTAATCACTTGGATCGAGGTTATGACCGTCTTCTCCGTCTTCTGTAGATTATCGGGTTGGTAGCTCTTACTTAAGGTCGGGAAGCACACAGTCCAGCTCTGAGCCCCCAATTTTACTAATGTCTTAAACTCAATCCCAATCTTCTATATGTGACTACCGGTTTTCCTTTACTTGTATTTTCTTACAACTCGTTTTCTGACTTTTTCTCGTACAGGATATTCTTATTTAATTTTCTGCAATTTATTTAAATTTTCCTGCAAATATATTATGTTTTATGATACTAACTATACAACATTTATGTTGTGTATTGCAATTTCATTCCTTTTACAATGTTTATTTACTTTATATGAAAAATAAAACATGTTTTTCAAAATTAATCAATATTCTCAAAATACAACAACAAAACAATAATTTCATAATACGTCCTCTTGAATCTTAATCAATATTCTCAAAATACAACAACAAAACAATTATTTCATAATACATCCTCTTGAATCTACGAGTCCCTCGGATGAGGTAACCCACAATTGCTAACGAGATCTTCCTTGTTTAAATGAGCTTAAAAACTCGTTTAGACTAAACAAGTTTAAAATAAAATAGTGGTACCGGGACGAAGGAAACATAATTTGTCGTAGATCTACCTCAACATTCGTAGCTCATTGATATTGTCATTGGTTGGTGTTTCGGTGATGTTTTTCCTGTCAAACAAGAATAGTTTGTTTTCCTCTAATCATCCCGAGTTCCTCATATTTCACTTATACTTAGTTCGCAAATATACCCAATACTTATTTCAACCCTCTCACACTTTTTAGGAGCGCTAGAATGATGTCAAAAAAGTTATGCTGAACTAATTTGAGCCATGTTGAACTAAAAATGCCAATAGTCATATGTTGGCCAAATATGGGCTAGAACAGTTACAAAAACAGTTTGGCTGATCAAATAGGAGCTAGGTTAACTCATAAGGTCTATCTAGATTCAACCAATTTGAAGTTTGGTTATGTTTGATTTAGTCAATTAAGATAATTAATCAATTGAACTCAATTTACTTTAATTGAGTAGTATCAGAAAATGCAAATAATTTGTTTTGATGGTTATTCCTTAATCCATAAAAAATAGTATCATATAAATGATAATAACAGCGTCTACAATGCAACATATGAACAAGTCCACACTGCCTTTTCCTAGTCCAGTAAGAAAATAACACCTCTCACCGGAGTTCACAACAATAGTAGGTTTGCAAAGAAGGGTGTCCATGCCTATTGGAATAGAGAATGTGTTATCTAATTCTATTACAAGGTAACCAAATATGCTCCAGCATTTACAACTTCATCAAATAAATAATCCACCTAAAGAAGCCCTTCACCGGAATCCAGTCAGGATCCATAAAATTAACGGCTAGCTGAAGGAAAAATAATCAACGAGCCTCCTCCATATGTTATATAGCAATGTTCGAATTTGTGAATTGCAAATTCTACATTATATAAGCAAACACATTTTAGCAAGCACTAAAAGGAAAACAATGACCACGAATATAATTGTAGAAGCGGGTAACTTATAAGCAGAAACAGATACCAGATTACCTTGTATTATAAATAATGTAAGCGGAGATCTGCTGATGAATTCTTCAACCTACAGCTCTGTCCAAGAAGCACATCCCCAAAAACATACCTATACTTCCAAAATATAGATTAAGAGAAATTTATTTTTTCATGAAATGCATGATTCATGAGATTTTGCGTCATTTCCTGAACACAAATATCAATGGAAAGAAATCGTAAATAACTCAACCTATATTCACAATATTCTGGCCAAGCACATCGAGCTTTTCCATAATCCCAATAACAGTCGACATCTCTCAAGGGTCCACGCTTGGCTGTCAAAATAAAAATATAGAGGAAAATCCTTTTTCAGATTGAAAAAATGGGAAGTCAAATTGAAAATAAAAATTAGCACAGTTTATCTTTACCAAATTTTTATCAAAATGGGCCTCAAAGCTGTTAGATTTATATTAAGATGAGTGCAATATAAAGTCCCAATGTTGCATCTCAGAGAAAATACCATAGCTTTGAGACCCATCCCACCAAAAAATTTGAAGAGAACATCTTTTGCCAACTTCTCTTATCTAGATAAAAGGATGCATGATATACGTGGAACTACAGTAAAGGGAAAGATTATGGCAGGCTGATATGACAAGCCATATCCTTGAATGACGAAGAGTACGAAAAAAACAGATTTACAGATTTAAAGCTTGACGAGATGAAATGCGAAGGCTGAACATTTGATGTGTAAAAAGCAAAGCAAATGCACCTTTTGTTACAAACTTTGATTTTGCATCAGGTTGGATATCATGCCACATTTGAAGCCACAACTCACGCATTAAAACTGAAGACCGAACAATATTCCTGTGGTTTGCTATTGAAAATGAGAATTCAATGTGAGGAGCGTCACTATGTCTGACACGAATTTAACTAAAAAGTCGCAATTCTCAATATTAAAGCAGAAAAGAACAGATAATATCGATTGTATGCATTATGCATAATTCACACTGAATTTAAAGGTGACATTTGTTACACAATGGGATCATCAAGCATACAGCCACAACCCTGCAACCAGTACATTTAAGAAGATCGTGTCATCTACAAACAATGATTTTTCATAGATTAAATTTATTCTTTCCCT